GTAGACTCGCCGAGTCCACTGGGGGACTCGCCGATTCCAAGCACAAATTCATCCAACTCGCCAATTCAGTTCATGCACTCGACGAGTTGGTGCTCCAGATTGCAGATTTTCGAATTTTAAAGCTGGAATTGGACTAGGATCATTACCCTAAACTGTCTTTGAACTTATAAACCTGTTTTTGGTGTGGTAATGATCATGCTAATCCAATTTCAAAGATACTTGTTAAAGTTTCAAGTTTTATGTTAGTTTATATGATTCTTAAAAATTGTTGATTTGAATTATCCATGCTTATGAGTTTTTGGTAGATCATATTATTTGATAATTGCTTGTTAGTTTAATTGTTGATCTAAATGCGTTTTTAATGGACTCCATAACTTGCCCTCAAGTTATGGAATTCCAAAAGTATTTTCCTTAAAAGTCATTAAAACTCATAAGTTATAGAAATGAAAGGTTTTGAATAGTTTCAAAACTTGTCCTCAAGTTTTGGAATTTGTAAAGTCACTTTAGAAAACATTAATTCTAATCCCAAGAATTTTAAAAGTTTAAAATTCAATCCTTATACTTTATAGTATTATAAGTTAATAATATATATATATATATATATATATATATATATATATATATATATATATATATATATATATATATATATACACACACATATAAGATCAAGTCAGTCTTACCGTTAGTAGACCTCATTCATGAAGTCGGTCTATAAGTGGGGTATAAGGTTACTGCCTATAAAATGATGGTTTAATAGGTGTCCACTCTCACCTACCGTTTCCTTGACTAGTGGAGGGTCGTTAGCCGAACGAGTAGGATAAGACATTAATTCTCGTTAAGTATAATGATAATCATAAAGTAACTAAATATTTTATAAAATCCCAATCTTAGTTACTTTAGGCAAATGTGAAATTGATGCTAACCCATAAAATTACACTTTGCACCTTACCAAGTCGTTAGTGAAGCGTGTGTTGTTAAGCAGCACACTAACATGGACTAGTAACGGTGTCTTAATGTTTGTCATAGATCGATGGAGTGTGTGTGGTTAACCGGCACATCAATTAGGTGATAAATGACATTAAGAGTACCAATTACATTTGTATCGTTATTAACACCTTGTTTGTGATCCTCGGTATCCCTGTCACAAACTTGAAGGGTATAATCGAGATTTAAACATGCAATTGAAGAGTTCAATGAATCTCAAAAGAATCTAGGAATTTCAATTCATCTAAAACCTAATAATTCCATTTCGTTTTTCATGGTGGAAATTGGTAAATCGTCATTTACCTACCTTCAAATATTTTGCAACTTGGATTACAACATCCCTCTTCCAAATTGTAAAATATTGTGTTGGGTCCTAGCCTTAATATTTCATTTTGGATGTTATATTAAAGACTCAATATCTAATCTAAACTTTGTCTTTCTTCCTTTTCAGATGTCTTCCAATAATGTTGCTTCTGGCTCAAAACCTACCAGCTCCTTCTCTCTCATGAACCTTTATGGGAGAGTCATTTTTTGATGTAGCTAATTTTAATGATTGGATTAGGAACATAAGGATGGTCACTCGTTATGAGGACAAGGAATATGTCCTCGATGAGGAGCTTTAGGTCATCCATGAGCCGTCTGCTACTCCCGAGGAGATTGTTGAGTACACTACCCATAAGAAGGATGCCACTAAGGTATCCTACATCATCTTGGCCACAATAACAGCAAAACTCCAAAAGTACTATGAGGACTTCTACCTTTTTGAAATGCACCAAGATCTGATGGAAAGATATTGTGACATCCCCAAATTCACGGCCAGAAAATACCGATTTAATTTATGTTTTTAAAATAATTCAAAGTAATCCTTTGATTAAAAGGGTTGCGGAATTTGTTCCCAAAACAAAATATGATAAAATTTTATCAAAGTATTTCTTAAAGAAATGTAATTTCATTATATAACAAAATCCCGGGATGTCATGCTCCAATACAGACCAAAAGCATAAACAGTACAAAATAGACTTATGTTCTGGTGCCACTACCTGTAATACAAAGAAAACTGAGTGGGTCAGGCTTGGGAGCCTGGTGAGCATATAGGGTTTTCAACCCATAATAAATAATTATATTAATTTCATCAACCAACAATAACCCAATCAACCATTCCCGTTATCCTCACTTTACTTCCCAAAAACAGCTATCACAAGGGACCTAATCTAAGGATTTTCATCGGGGCGACAACACTGCTTTGGGGGTTTCCCAATAATTTATGTCAAATAAGGCAACCATGTGGGGGATGGAGTACAACAATTGAACACCCAAGTTCAGTAACACCTATAGGTGGTGAGCCTACCAGCGCTCCACTAGACTATCTAGAGAGTCCGTGGTCGTTATCTAAACTCCGCTAGATGACTAAATCAGCAACAACATCGAGGCCTCTCATCATTTTATTTAATCCCTCATCAACTATCTGCCCATGTTTCACCCAACGTATTTGTAGATAAATAATACATATATAGCTTAAAACATGTATAAAACATTCATTCAACACTTATCTCAAATAAACAAATAATATATAAACACATAGCACGTATTTTACAGAGAATACTCCGTATCTATGTGTTAGAAGAAAATGAATATACACTCACGACGGCTCTTAAAGTAATATTCTTTGATGAAATCGGGATGTTCTCTAAAAAACCGGGCTTCATGCAGGTAGAGTTTCGGCTCGAAAACTCTTTTTCTTGGGATCTTCGGGGCTTTGGGACTTGTTTCGGGGCTGCGGGATGATACTGGGACTGCGGGGGTATTTCTTGCAAAGTAGAGGAAAGTTTAAGGTGTGAAGGATGGAAAATTAGCAACCATAAACGGTTAGCCTCACATCCTATTTATAGGAGGAGTCTGGCCTTCGGTACGTAGGGAGTTCCTCCGAGGGACGCAACGCGTTCTAGAACGTTGGGCGTTCCTTCGGACGTAGTGCGTAGGAGCTAGGCGAGGTTCTCTGTCCGATGCCAGCTTGTTTCAACTACGGCGTCGCTCATCCGAGGCCGAGCAAAACAAACGCGGGGCGTTCCCCTTCTGAATGCGGGGCGTTCCCCCTTCGGATAAGCTTCGAATTTTTATTTATTTTTATTTAAAAACTTCAATAATTCATATACGAGCTCCATTTTTGGCGTTCTTTATATTCACACGTAGGTGAGACTATGCTCTACAACTTTCATTTAGACTCCGTCGGCTAATTTTGACTTTATTTTTATTATGTTATTTTTAGTAGGTCGGGACAGCTTAAGTCCATTATAAATTCATAACTTCTTCATCTGAAGTCCGTTTTCGTCTTTCTTTTTACCATTGAACTATTATTAACGAGATCTTTGATTCTCGTTTAGATTGTCTCAGCTAGAAATCACTCGATCTCGTATTCGAACTTTGGGCTGCATTCTGCTAAGTCGAAACTTCGAAAAATCATAACTTCCTCATACGAAGTCAGATTTTGACGTTCTTTTCATGCATGCTCTCGATTTAACATATTCTACGACTTTCGTTTAGATCGCTAAGGCTAAAAATTGCTCTATTGTAAATTCATTATTTACGTCACGCAGTGTCGTACTGGTTCTGTCGCGAAACTTCAACATGTCATAACTTCTTCGTTATAACTCAGATTTCGACATTCCTTATATATCCGGAATCCTTGTCACGACTATTAGAACTTCCTTCATAGATATTGGGCTTATCTAATACTTTATTTTAACGTTTATTTTTTATCCTTAATTCATTTAAGTCACATAATTAGGCATAAAACACATAATACTCAAATAATATATTTTTATTATTTCAAAATGAGTTTTAAACGTTATTCTAGACTATTACATCATCATTAATGGCTAGCCTAGAAACATAGGCATTACAATTCTCTCCCCCTTAAGATGATTCCGTCCCCGAAATCACACATCAACAAACAAATGCGGATAGCGACTCATCATGTCACTCTCCGTTTCCCAGGTGAGATTTGGCCCATGCGTATGTTTCCAACGGACAAGCACTAATTCGACCATCTTGCGTCACAACTTCTTAATCTTACGGTCAACAATTGCCTTTGGTTCTTCAATTAACCTTTTGTTTTCATCAATTCTTAACTCAGAAATTGGACTTATGTCGGAAACTTCTCCCGTGAACTTCCTCAAATAACACACATGGAAAGTGTTATGAATACCATTCAATTCTTCTGGTAGTTCTAGCTTGTAAACTTGGTTCCCAATCATCTGAAAAACTTTAAACGATCCAATAAATCTTGGACTTAACTTTCCCCTTTTACCAAATCTTACAAGTCCCTTCCACGGTGAGACTTTAAACAAAACCGAATGCCCAACTTGATATGTCATCGGTCTTCGTTTTTTGTTAGTATAGCTCTTTTGACGATCCTGAGCCGCTAACATTCTCTCCTTAATTATTTTCAGCTTTTCAACAGTCTGATGGAGTATCTCGGATCCTATAAACTGCTTTTCTCTAGCCTCAAACCAACAAGACGGCGTACGATACTTCTGTCCGTACAAAGCTTGATAGGTTTTTGCTATAAATCTTTAACCGTTTTGATACTTCTGATCCTTACAGTTAAAACTTTTATATTTTTGACATAAAAAACACAAAAAACGTCCCGGGGCGGGGCGAAGCCGGAGCTTTCCTCCTAGTTTGTAAATAAAAAGGGAATTAGTTAAATGAGACTGTAACATGCATGGAAATGTGCTATCGTTGTTTTATGAAAATGGATATAATACATTCATAATGGTTAATAGTTCATATAAGATAATCGTCTATTAATTAATCATAGTACGAAAAACTAAACACAATAACACATGATGCACGTTGCATATTAAATTATTAACCATCAAACAACTACATATATCTCTAATAAAATAACCACGTGGTATATATTGTATTCTTCATTATGATGAGTTCATACCTGGGACCTTTTCATACAAATTATTACACACAATTTCACGCTTATAAACACACACACTAAACACACCCTCATACACGGAGACATCTAGCCATGAAGATGCAATCCAACCATGACTCCCTCTTCATCATGCTCGCAACCCTATATTCCGTACTCGTTCTCTCCTCTTCACAAGATTTCGATTTCTTCTACTTAGTTCAAGAGGTATTCCATTTCAATTCAATTCATGCTGTAATCGCAAACCTATAAATACAGTTTAATTTCCTCTTCATTCCATTCAACTACTACACGGTTTTATGATCTAAATGTTCTGTAGTGGCCGGGATCACACTGTGACACTGAACAAGGTTGTTGCTACCCAACCACCGGAAAACCAGCTTCGGACTTTGGAATCCATGGACTTTGGCCTAATTACAACGATGGCTCCTATCCCTCGAATTGCAACTCTAGCAACTCTTTCGATGCATCTAAGGTTGTTCTTTACTTCTTTTACCATTACTTCTTTTACCATTCCCTCGGATTGTTTATTGGCGTATACGTAGGAGCCAAAAAAAGAAATGAACGTCATTAATTAACCGTCTAAATTACAGATTTCCGATCTTATTAGCCGAATGCAGTTGGAGTGGCCAACATTATCGTGTCCAAGCAAAGATGGGCTAAAATTTTGGGGTCACGAGTGGAAAAAGCATGGGACTTGTGCGGAATCTATACTCGATCAACATGCTTATTTTGAAACCACTCTTAAACTCAAAAACAAAATCAATCTCCTCCATGCTCTAGAAGGCGCAGGTATGACTAGCTCATTCATTCATTTGTAGTTGTGGGAGAGAAAATCTATTTTGGTAACTGCATATATATAAGAGTATAAAACAAACGTTTTGTTTTTTGTTTTCCAAAACTTATAAATATGTCAAAATGTTACGCAGGAATTCAACCGAATGGGCAAATGTATAGTCTTGAAAGCATAACGAGCGCGATTCAAGTGGCGAGTGGCTACACTCCACGGATCCAATGCAATAATGACACGTCAGGCAACAGTCAATTGCACGAAATCTCCTTGTGTGTGGACTCGATGGCATCTGACTTCATTGAATGCCCCGTTTTGCCTAATGGGCGTAGTTGTGGTTCCTCCGTCGAGTTTCCTTCCTTCTAACTTTAATGTTTTAATTCGTTAATGTAAGAACTTAGATGTAGCACCAGCTAAATGCTTTTATTTATATAATAATTTCGTTTTTATATTAATTTGTGCAACAACTTTCGGTTTTTACCAATTTGTAGAACACACACAAATTACCGATATAGGTATTTAATACAACATGATGGACAATACGTGTTGCACACACATGGTCAACATGATGGACATGATGGACAATACGTGTTGGTATCTCGATCAACGTTGACCATGCAAAAACCATTCTTATATATGGACGTATCGAAAAGAACATGTGTGTACCAGACCATAAACTTGAATTTTCAAAAGGGTATTTTTGTATCAATTCTATATCTTATATAACTTAAGAATTTTTTGTTGAGTTGTTAAAAGCACATTTCAAGATCACATGACATATCTAATCTCACGTTATTTGTAAAACACAACTTCCGTAAGCCATCGTTTTCCACATCTATACAAATAACACAACTTCCGTATGCCATCGTTCTCCATATGATTTGAAAGAGACTTGTATACACATCTATACTGGGGTAAAAAGGTTTAACTTATTTTGTATTATTATACAACTACTACAATAATTGGGAAAATAACTTATTAAGGTTACTAACTATTTCAGTTGTCCATATATAGGTAATGTTTTTTTTTTGTACACATTAAGGTAACTAACTTGTTTTGTTTGTTCACATTTAGGTAATATGACTGGCTATCACCTGTTTTTGCTTATGTGGCATGCATCCACCTGGCATATGCCTTGAATACGTTGCACCTACGTGGCATGGTGCATATATGGGAAAATGACTTATTAAGGTAACTAACTATTTCAGTTGTCCATATATAGGTAATGTTCTTTTTTTTACACATTAAGGTATCTAACTTGTTTTGTTTGTTCACATTTAGGTAATATGACCGGTTATCACATGTTTTTGCTTATGTGGAATCCACCTGGCATATGAATTGAATATGTTGCACCTACGTGGCATGGTGCATATATTGTCTTCATTCGATTATACTATAACTGTGTCATACGATTTCACCCCTAATTCTAAACCCTAGATCGATCGACGATGGCTTCTTCTTCCTCATCTTATTCTTTAAAATGACAACATGAATTTCAAGTTGATCATCCATGTGATTGCGGTTTACCATCTCGTGTGAAGATTTCAAAAACTCCTGCAACATATTCAACAATATTGATTTACCATCAAGTTTTGACAAACTCTAAATTTTCTTCCATGGTTGTCAAAAGTTTTTAAAATCTTCACACGAGATGGTAAGCCGCAATCAAATGTATTCAAGTCATATGTCAGGTGGATGCCACATAAGCAAAAACAGGTGATAGTCGGTCATATTACCTAAATGTTAACAAACAGAACAAGTTAGTTACCTTAATGTGTACAAAAAAAGAAGAACATTACCTATATATGGACAACTGAAATAGTTAGTTACCTTAATAAGTCATTTTCCCATATATGCACCATGTCACGTAGGTGCAACAAATTCAAGTCATATGCCAGGTGGATGCCACATAAGCAAAAACTGGTGATAGCCGGTCATATTACCTAAATGTGAACAAACAGAAGAAGTTAGTTACCTTAATGTGTACAAAAAAAAGAACATTACCTATATATGGACAACTGAAATAGTTAATTACCTTAATAAGTCATTTTCCCATAATAATGTTGCAACTACTACTATTAGGTCTAACATCAAACAAATATGGTGCACTAACTTGTAAAAAATTAATCCAAACTTGTAAAAGATTAAATTAATGCAATTTAGAAAATTAGTCCAACAAAACTATAAGTTATGGTCCATAAAGAAGAGTTCAAATAAGCCCAATCATTTTTTTAAAGAAATTGTTTGATGTGGAATAACAAATAAAGAAATAATCTCACTTTTTTGCTGTATTAAAGGAATGCACGGCAAGTAGAGATAAGAAACAACATGCATTGAAAAAAAAAAGAAACAGAAGAAGAACCGGTCTCATTCCAAAGGAGGGAAAAATTACATTTCGATTTTCGAGTTTGGGAGCAGATATCCAATGATCACTTTTTGCATAAAGATGATCGGTTCACTAGTTTTAAAGGAATTTCCGACCTTTATCATTTGATAGTGGAAACGAAGAAACATTGTTACAATCCTATAGTTTATAGGTTGTTAAATTTGGTTTTTGTTTTACCCACCGCGACTGTAACAGTCGAAAGATGTTTTCCGTGATGTAGCTTTTGAAGATGAACTTGCATAACAAAATAGGTGTTGATTTTTTGAATGATGTCTTGATTTATAATGTTGAAAAAGAAGCCCTCAGGAAGTGCAAATTTTTTGGCATTGGGGTGACACACACGGAAGTTACAGAAACAACAAATAGGTTGGGGTGTGAACATGGTAATCTTCCTTTTATTTACCTTGGCATGCCCATTGGTAGTAGCATGAAGAGAACTAACAATTGGTGGTCATTGGTTGAACGATTTATCAGTAAATTGTCTATATGGAAAGCAGATTGTCTGTTAATGGGGGCAAGACTCACTCTATGTAAATATGTTTTGAGATTCCTCGGCTCCTACAACTTTTCTATCTTTAGAGTACCAGCAAAGATCCCTGTGAAACTTGAAAGTATCCGATGTCGGGTTTTTTTGGGAGATCGGCTGATTCGAAGAAAATTACGTGGGTTTCCTGGTCGAAAACGATGAATAACATGGAGAAGGGAGGTATGAACATTGACATCCTCAATGCGGCCAATATGCGCTTCTTCACATGTACTGATGGAATCTGGAAGGAGGTGATAAAAGTCTTTTATAGTGACAGAGGAGGCCTTAGGGAAGTCAACCCCTCTTATCGGAAAACTAATGTTTAGGAGGGAATTAGCAGCATCAAAATGGTTCTAAACAAGTTGGGTTTAGACATTATGCTCACACATGACGGGAACAACTGGAAGTGGACTTTGGAAAAGGATGGGTTGTTACTGTCAGCTCGCTTAGAAAGGCTCTGGACAATATCACCCTGGATAGTTCCTCTCTCAAGACAATTTGGTGTAAGGTTGTCCCTATAAAAATAAATACTTTCATTTAGCATTTGTGACATAATATATTGCCTAAGGTTGACAACCTCCTGAATAAAGGCATTCATATTCCAATGCAGTTGTGTACGTTATGAAACTGCTATCCCGAATTTGCTGAACATTTTTTCTTACAATGTTCCACATTTGGGCAACTTATGGCAAACTTCAGGCTAAATTGGTCAAAACTTCTGGACTTAACTCAGGGAGTTGAGCTAGAAAACCTGATCAAAGGAGGAGACCTTACATGGACGAAAGATGAGGCCATCAAATTTTATGTAGTGATTTGGACCTTCTTGTGGGTCATTTGTGGGCCATTTAGTGTAATTAGAACGACATTCGTTTCAATTACAAAGTTAAAGGCATCTTTGATCTTGCCTCGGAAGTCGTTAACAGTATCTTCTTGTGGTTTAGAGTTCGTTACAATACAATAGAAACTTGCCTATAGATAGTTGGATGTAATATATTTTTTCTCTTGTTGTTTGTATGCTCTAGCCCCTCGTTAGAGTTGGTGCTTTTTTGAATAAAATTTCTGAGTTGTTCAAAAAACAAAAGTTAAGGTTAAAGATGTAAATGATTTTTTTCACAAAATGTGTACACATAGATGTCAAATTTGAAATGTAAGTTTTAAAACTATTGGTTTGTTATTTTAATGTACTCGAAGTCTATGAACTCTTCCAACGCTTTTGCTTGATTTTATTTTTAATAATTCTTATTGTTCAAAATATATATATACTAAAAGAGGTGTGGCAATTGTTCTATTCCATGTTTTTCCAGCCAATAGTAGTTTTGATGGGAGGATGGGGTTGGACATTGGATCAGATTCCATTAAGTCATTCAATGAAACTTTTGATACTGTCTTTACGAAGAGAATTTTGCGATGGATATGGACAATGAAGACGGGAACTCCAAGAGGCAAAAGATCTTTTATTGAGTTTTAGGGTGAATAGCATAAAATAAAGCACTTTTTTGCCAAAATATTCTATGTACTTACATTTATTTTCCTGATAATAGTAATATGTAACCCATAATAGCAGTTGATATTGTCATATTTATACATATTTTTTTGGCAATATTTGAATACATTTTGTTTAATATTTTGGTTATTTGCATAGATAAGTGGTACTTATAAGATTAAATTGTATTTTGCAGCCAAAACAAGTCATATTGAAGAATAAGGACCAAAAGCGACAAGGATCGGAACTTTAGAGGTTAAAAGCTTAAAAGATGAAGAATTCAGCAAAAATCGACCTCACGACATGAGGAATCATGCCTCACGACGTGAGCATTGAGGTTCTAGAAGATAAGCATCCGGAGGCAAGAATCTGTGTCCAATACAGATTAATATTAAACTCACAATGTGAGAAGCCTTGTCTCACAACATGAGGAGGGTAAATTCGAAAACTATAAATACTTCTGATGCTTACGGATTTTAGAGGTTGGCTGAAGAGAATAGAGATTCCTAAACTTATGTTCTGTGTAACTTTGTGAATATTAAATTGCATGAACTTGACACCTAGTAATTTAGTGAACATTTAACTGCTAGAGCTAGGATCCAACCAATCTTATTTAAGTGATTAAAGTATTATTTTTGGCTGTGCTAGAGAACATATATTGTGACAATAATATTGTGTTTGTCTATTCAATCTTACATAGCTCCAATAATAATTAATAATTTTGTGTTAAATTATATGCGATCATGCATAACTCTACATGAATTGATTCAACATTAGTAAATTTAGACTTAAATTGCTAATAATATATTAATTCGTAACCAACAAGAATTGTCAATAATTAATAGTTAACTAGTGAGGGAAAGTGGATTCGAACTAAACAGAAGTGTTTTGCATATTTGATTGAATAGTTGTTAAGAATTTAAGTTTGTCTAAACTTGCAAAATTTGATAAAAAACCAGTTTACTTTTGCTTTGAATTTTAGGTTAATTTAATAGTAAGTAGGTTAATTAATTAATT